TTTCTGTGACTGTAATTTGCCAACGAATCAGTCAGTCCTGTGAGGTACTGATGTTCCATGTTAAATTCTTGGTAGATCTTTGCAGCAAATGCTATTTCAAGCAGAGAAAATTTCTCCTTCTTTTGATCTTCCAAAAAAGTTCAATCTGGTCCTCTGGACATAGAAAAAAAAAACAAAGCAATAAAATGTAGATACGTTTCATCTCTCATCCGAAAGACTTCCTCAGTCTGAGGTACTATATTCAGCTCAGTCTCTTAAATAGCACCTTCTCAGAGTGGATCTACCAGTTTGCTGCTGACAACCGAAACCAGCTGCTCACATGGTCAAGAAGGACCATCAGCCTAACAATGTGACCATGTGAGCAGCTGGTTTTGGTTGTCAGCAGCAAACTGGTAGATCCACTCTTAGAAGGTGCTATTTAAGAGACTGAGCTGAATACAGCACCTCAGACTGAGGAAGTCTTTCGGATGAGAGATGAAACGTCTCTACATTTTATTGCTTTTTTTTTTTTTTTTTTTTTTTTTGGGAATGTCCAGAGGACCAGATTGAACTTTTTTTGGATTTTTATACCTGGATTATTGAGCATGCATCAGGATACTTTTGATCGTCTTTCAGCTGTTCCCTTCCCAGTGTCGCCACAGCGAGTCCTCCTCCATCTCGCCCTGTCCTCTGTGTCCTGTATTCTTCTAAATCTGCATTTTAATTTTTGATTTTTTCCCCTCTCATCTTTAGGTTGAGCGCTCTCTCCTCTCTCCATACGTATCCCCCGTTGAGACTCCTTTCCGCCACCTCCTGCTCGGCCGGGGCTCCCACACCTTAGCGTCCATCGCAGAGACCACCAACATGGAGCAGCTCCGCACCCAGCTGGCCCTCGCCACCTGGAACCTGCAGGGATGCGCCAATGCCATGATGGAGAACATCGCCGACATCGACGATGAAATTTAACCTAAGAAACCTTAAGCACAAAGTATCAGAGGTCCCTTTCTTTAAATTCAGAGTGAGATAATTTTTCCATTCCTCTTCTTAAATTCAAAGATCCTACGAGGGGAAAAATAAGAACTGTCCAAATTAAGAGCCAAATACTTGAAAATGAAAATGGAGTTCAGCTCTCCTTCATCAACAAACTGAAACGGGCAGAGATTTTGTTGCTGCCTCTTGCCATTAAAGCACTGATACCTTATTTATACTTTATGCATATTTATCAGTGGCAGTGCCCACTATATTTATTATCTTTTGTTTTTTTTATACAGCATTATCGGAAGCAGTGTCTTCCATAATTATGACGGTTATACTGTCGAAAGCCACAGCAGCATCTGCTACACAAATGACTCCTTGTTACTGACTAAATGGAGCCTCGGATAACGTTACGTTTTCCTTTTTCTGCCATTTATTTGTCCCTTTTTTTGAAACATTGGAAAAACTAGCAATTACGTTGTCCAAAGATGTGTCAAATGGGAGAAATAAATGGCAGAAAGATGTACTAAATTCAAAATTGGTTTGACCAAATCAAAGTAGAAACTGTCTGTTTTTTGTAACTTCATTTGCTTAAAGGCAAGAAAGTGATTTTTAGCAAATTAAATTTATGACTACGCAAAACAAGACATGGACAGATTATTAAACCTCTGAACTGATTGGTTAAAATCAACAGTAAATCCATTTATGTTAAAGCGTCTCTAAATTATAACACTTAACAATGGCGTTATCGGGAGCAGTGCCTTCCATAATTTAAACCCATTATCGGGAGCAGTGTCTTCCATGATGATTACCAGTGACGGTAGTTTTTGCCTACCTTTTTTTTTCGTTTTGTATTTTGTATGTTGTGTATTTATCGAGAGCAGTGTCTCTCATATTTCACTTAAAGGGTGGAACAACTTGTCGGGGACAGTGTTTCCCAGAGTTTTATACTTATTAGTGTTTATGGTTCATTTTTGGATTATGTTCCTTGGTGCAGTGTTGTGTGGACCTCTTGTTTCTCTTTATCATGTTTGGATGTCTATTATTGTATGGTTTATAACACAAGGTGAGCCTCACCAGGGGAGGTGGGTAACGGAGCATTTGTCCAGATTATGAGGAAGTTTTAACAGACTGACATATTTCACAAAGTAAAGGTAGAATTGTTGCATAGTTGTTTCCAGTGTAGCAACTTCTTGAAATTTCCTTCGTCATCCCATTTAAAATACCATCAAATCTTATACACGTTCAGGATTTGCTAAATGGTCACATTTGACTCCCGTGCAAAAGATTTTTATAGATTCCTGTACAATAATAGTCTTGCTTTAATGAAAATGTGACCTAAAAAGGTCATTTGCCATTATTATTGTTGCCAAAACAGAAAAAAATATGCCATATTTGAATTGCAATCATGCCGTAACTCCTCTTAATACGGAACTGATTTTCAGGCAGAGCCACCATGTTAACTGGTTTAAAGTATATAGTTCTTGCCCACCTCTCCTGTATGAATAATTCCAGATTGAGCATCTTAGTAGCTCAACACTGAAAGTTTTAAATGCACTGTATTTATTCTAGACAATACCAAAACAAGCCTAGTCAACCTTGTTACTTTCAAACTTCTCGTTTCTTCAAAGGGCAACAGAACTAATAAGCTGCTCATATCCATAAATCGGAACGCTCACTGCATCTGCATGCTTCTTCTCACTTTGTGTTACTGGACTGTAGCTCGGAACCAAAACCTTGTAAGAGCTTGCATCTACATGTTTTTTTTACCTTTTCAAAATATTGTCATTTAAAATTGTAATTTGGGTTATTAGTTTGTTTAAATAATAAAAACCAAAACTCCACAGTGCAGAAATGTTTGATCGCTCTGATTTTAGATTTTGTCATCTGTTCGTCTTGGGTGTTGAAATGAATCAGACTTTGAATTGATAGGAATTGGATGTTTTTTCTCACTGTGTAAAGCTGAAGCTTGGAAAGAAGAATAATGTACTTTGTTAAAATTATGCATACTGTGACCTCCAAATTAAACAAAAATAAAATTAATCATTTTTGGCATATTCAGTATTCCTGTGTATCACTTTTTTTTACAGCAAAATTTAGTGTTCAAGTGCCTTTTTGATCGTTCCCATCTAAATCCTGTAGATTGAATTTTGTTTTTTAGAGAACGACAGAAGCATCTTTTTTTTTTTTTTTTTTAATTCAGAAGACATTTGAATCATCAATTTAAAATATTTGCCTACAGTTTTTCTGTTCTGTATCAGTTTTTTTGTTTTTGTTTTTTGGGAGGGGGAGGGTTTCAAATTAAAATCACTGACAATATATGCTGTATAAAAGACCAACAAATATCTGAGGCGTATCTATTTCAGATTTAAATACAAAATGCATTTGTAAATGTAATTAAGGATTTGCTCATTTGTTTTTCAGTGAATGGTCTAAAATCTCAATGGGGAGTGGTGGTGCAGAGGTCAGAAGGTGGGCCTGTGATTGGAAGGTTACTGGTTCGACTCCCTGGACCAACGTCAAAATATGCGTGGGAAAGGTGAAACGCCCACACCTGCCTCCACCCTCATTTGCCCCACTTTGGGCCATTGAGCAAGGTCTTCTACCTCCTCCATTAGCTGAGCTCCCAAACAGGTCTCGAACATAGGTCATTGCTACTCGATGAGACTACTTGTATACATAAATTTTACCGGTAAATAAAATAAATGATCTTGCTTCATTAGTAAACCTAGTTGTTATACTATGGCATTGTTTTAAATTCTCACTAATATATCAGTTATCTAATGCATTTATCCAAATGGCACATTTTAGATACTAAAATGCTTTAATAATAGGTAAAGTTGTTTGACTTGAGCGATTTTTTTATAGAGCCAAACCAGGGCTTTTATTTTGAATGCAAACCGGAAGTGCCCTTGTTTTGGCTGTTTCGGCGATAGCGGAGCGTCTTGACGTTTCTGACGCACGGTGACGCTCGAATCCCAGCACGAGTTACGTTACGGAACGCGTAGAGACAAAGATAATGGTTGAATATAGGCAATAAACGGGACAACTTCCTGCCGGGCTGTGGTGTCCTGGAGCGGCTGGAGGAGCGACAGGTGACCGGCGGTAGACGACCATCTTCCTGCCTGAAGGTGTGTACGGTGGAATAATGTCAGCTTGTTGCTCTGCGTCCCACCAAAAACAAACACGTAAATTTAGCAAAAGACGGACAACAGTCGAGCAAACAAGACGCTGAAAAGCAGGAGCTCATTAAATTTGGAGGACCATAAATCAGATTAATTGATTAATCCATTCTGTCTTCCATGAGACATGTCCACAGATTAGATTAAGACAGTCACTTAAAGGTTTGTATTTGTATTTGTTAAAGTTTGATTTTACTTTTGCATTAAATATGCTTGTTTCATGCAAAGAAGGCCAATTTCATAACAATAAAACCCAAGGGGGTGAATACTTTAATACATTTGAGCATGAGCATGCATCAGGATACTTTTTACATTTCTACAATGCACAACCTATTATTTTACTTACTAATACTTTGCAGTAGAATAATAATCAATGAACTAGTTTTTTGTGTGTGGTTTAGGACAATTTATATGTAGGAATAAACTGAAACGCGTGTGAAATGTGAACTTATTAGCAGTTGATTTGAAGGTGAAATTAAAGCTTTAATGCTACCCAATTTAATTTAATAAGAAAACAAATCAATGGGATTAAATAATGGCTGACATTCACATTTGTAAATGGATACCTCCGAGCATAAACATCCATCCATCCATCCATTTTCTTCCGCTTATCCGGGGTTGGGTCGCGGGGGTAGCAGCCTAAGTAGGGAGGCCCAGACTTCCCTCTCCCCAGCCACTTGGGCCAGCTCTTCCGGGGAAATCCTGAGGCGTTCCCAGGCCAGCTGAGAAACATAGTCCCTCCAGCGTGTCCTGGGTCTTCCTCTGGGCCTCCTTCCGGTGGGACGTGTCTGGAACACCTCACCAGGGAGGCGTCCAGAAGGCATCCTAAACAGATGCCCAAGCCACCTCAACTGGCTCCTCTCGACATGGAGAAGCAGCGGCTCTACTCTTGAGTCCCTCCCGGATGATCGAGCTTCTCACCCTGTCTCTAAGGGAGAGCCCAGACACCCTGCGGAGAAAACTCATTTCGGCCGCTTGTATCCGAGATCTCATTCTTTCGGTCACAACACAACGCTCGTGACCATAGATGAGGGTAGGAACGTAGATCGATCGGTAAATTGAGAGCCTCGCCTTTTGATTCAGCTCTCTCTTCACCACGACAGACCTGTACAGCGCCTGCTTCACTGCAGACGCTGCACCTATCCGCCTATCGATCTCACGCTCCATTTTTCCCTCATTCGTGAACAAGACCCCAAAATACTTGAACTCCTCCACATGGGGTAGGACCTCCTCCCTGACCCGGAGAGGGCACTCTACCCTTTTCCGGCTCAAGACCATGGCCTCGGATTTGGAGGAACTGATCTTCATCCCGGCCGCGTCGCATTTGGCTGCGAACCGCTCCAGCGAATGATGTAATAAGACCACATTATCTGCAAAAAGCAGACACGCAATCCAAAGGCCACCAAAACGGATCCCCTCAACACCTTGGCTGCACCTAGAAATTCTGTCCATAAAAGTTATGAACAGAATCGGTGACAAAGGGCAATCTTGGTGGAGTCCAACTCTCACCGGGAACAAGCCCGACTTACTGCCGGCGATGCAGACCAGGCTCTGACACCGGTCATACAGGGACCTAACAGCCCGTATCAAAGGGCCCGGTACCCCATACTCCCAGAGTACCCCCCACAGGGTCCCCCGAGGGACGCGGTCGAACGCCTTCTCCAAGTCCACAAAGCACATGTAGACCGGTTGGGCAAACTCCCATGCACCCTCCAGGACCCTGCTGAGAGTATAGAGCTGGTCCAGTATTCCACAGCCATGACGAAAACCGCACTGCTCCTCCTGAATCTAAGGTTCGACTATCCGACGGACCCTCCTCTCCAGAACCCCCGAATAGACCTTACCAGGGAGGCTTAAGAGCGTGATTCCCCTGTAGTTGGAACACAATCTACAGTCCCCCTTTTTGAATAGGGGGACCACCATCCCAGTCTGCCAATCCAGGGGAACTTCCCCCGATGTCCACGCAATATTGCAGAGTCGCGTAAGCCAACACAACCCCACAACATCCAGAGCCTTAAGAAACTCCGGGCGAATCTCATCCACCCCTGGGGCCCTGCCACCGAGGAGCTTTTTAACCACCTCGGTGACCTCCGCACCAGAGATTGGAGGGCCCGACCCAGAGTCCCCAGGCTCCGCTTCCTCAGTGGAAGACGTGCCGGTGGGATTGAAGAGGTCTTCAAAGTATTCCGCCCACCGACCCACAACATCCCGAGTTGAGGTCAGCAGCACACCACTCCCACTATAAACAGTGTTGGTGGCGTACCGCTTCCCCCCCCCCTGAGATGCCGGATGGTGGACCAGAATCGTCTCGAAGCCATGCGGAAGTCGTTCTCCATGGCCTCTCCGAACTCCTCCCATGCCCGAGTTTTTGCCTCAGCGACCACCCGAGCCGCATGTCGCCTGGACTGCCGGTACCCATCAGCTGCTTCCGGGGTCCCACAGGCCAAAAAGGCCCGATAGGACTCCTTCTTCAGCCTGACAACATCCCTCACCGACGGTGTCCACCATCAGGTTTGAGGGTTGCCGCTGCGACAGGCACCGACAACCTTGCGGCCGCAGCTCCGGTAAGCTGCCTCGACAATAGAGGCACGACACATGGTCCACTCAGACTCAATGTCCCCCACCTCCCTCGGAACATGTTTGAAGTTCTCCCGGAGGTGGGAGTTAAAACTCCGTCTCACAGGAGACTCTGCCAGACGTTCCCAGCAAACCCTCACAATATGTTTGGGTCTGCCAGGTCTGACCAGCATCCTCCCCCACCATCGGAGCCAACTCACCACCAGGTAGTGATCAGTGGACAGCTCCGCCCCTCTCTTCACACGAGTGTCCAAGACATGTGGCCGCAGATCAGATGAGACAATGACAAAGTCGATCATTGAACTGCGGCCTAGGGTGTCCTGGTGCCAAGAACACATATGGACACCCTTATGCTTGAACAAAGTGTTCGTTATTGACAATCCTTGACGAGCACAGAAGTCCAACAACAGAACACCACTCTGGTTCAGATCAGGGGGGCCGTTCCTCCCAACCACACCCCTCCAGGTCTCACTGTCATTGCCCACATGAGCATTGAAGTCCCCCAGCAGAACAAGGGAGTCCCCAGGAGGTGCACTTTCCAGTACCCCCTCCAAGGACTCCAGAAAGGGCGGATAATCTGAACTGCCGTTTGGTGCATAAGCACAAACGACAGCCAGAACCCGTCTCCCCACACGTAGGCGGAGGGAGGCCACCCTCTCATTCACTGGGGTGAACCCCAACACACAGGCACCAAGTTGGGGGGCAATAAGTATGTCCACTCCTGCTCGGTGCCTCTCACCAGGGGCAACTCCAGAGTGGAAGAGTGTCCAGCCCCTCTCAAGGAAACTGGTTCCAGAGCCCGAGCCATGCGTAGAGGTGA